CGATCCACGATTTAAATTGGTATGGTGCAGTAGTAATGAAGAAACGATAAGTATGAAGTCTAAGTTTATTGAAATAATGTCAAATGAATTTGAGAATGAGGACTTGAGCACCATACCACCAATATCTGATGACACAGACACAGCAGAACAGCCACAGCCAAAGAGAAGCAGACTCTTCAGTTACTTACCATTGTAGTATGGTGCGTGGGCGGATCAAAGGCGCCCCCAGTGCTACATCTTCCTATAACCGCACGGTAGGAAAATGTAGCACTGTGTGGAATATATAGTACTGCACAGTATAATGTATGGGCTGTCCTGTTAACCACAAGCTTTGATAGAGGCAAACCACAGCCACAGCTACATACATTCATGTGATAATTAAAATAAAAATAATAACAATAAATGAGATCTGTGATGTTCATAGTTGATACCATTATATAGAATTCTGTATAACAGTCATTTATATTAGGAGTTATTGTAGAAGTTTAAGGTGCAACCTTGAAGACCAGAGAAATTGTGAACAACTTGATCCGGCAGCATGGGCTTCATTCCATCAAGTAAAACAGGCTTTTTATCACTCATGTCTGTCTTGTTAAAAGACTTTTCACATGTAATGCTATCCCCAGCAGCCTTTTCTTGACTTGTTGATGTTTTCTCATATGCCCTTAACCCTTTCAAACTCTTATGACCTGACTTCTCAGCAATTAATTTCTCTGGAACACCACTGTCATACATGCGTGTGATAGCAGTAGCTCGAAGAGAATGGTTGGTATATCGAACACCAATGCCTGCTTCCTCACTTATTTCTGGTACGACATTTTTCAGGGTGTTAGCTCCAATAGGCATCTTTGCATACCATGGCAAATCTGGTGAGACAGGTATGTTGAGAAGTGGACGTAGATAAAAAGCTGGTGGATCCGGTGGTAATTTTGATAAGTAGAAATCTAGAAGACGAACCAAACACCTTTCATTATCAGGTTTAGCGTAGGCCCTTACACATTTGTTGGTTGTGTTAATATCCTTAAACCTGTGTATGTTATTTTTTGAAATATATTCCATGTATTCATAGTAGGTATCACTTGAATACAGAGATTGATCAGATGGAAAACGCTCTATTTGTTCAATCTTAAGGTTACGGTGCTCTTCAACCCCTCTCAAAACAAAATGCATGCCTATACCACAAAAGACAGCTCGCATGAGACTCTTAGGTGATCCGTAACCGATGATACCTTTGTCCCAAAATATGACCTCATGCTCAAATGGAATCACAAGAGCTTTATTACGCTTAGCACCAATTCCCTCACTGTGTAGCTGGCTGGTAACTGTATCGAGTGTCAGAGCAAACTCACGAAATATAGGGTCATCTTTATCAAAAATAGAAAATGTAGCACCATTTTCTCTTAAGACTCGATGTAAACCACCCAAAATACTCCTTATACTGGAAGGAGGATACATGGTTCCATCTTCTTTCCTGACCTCCAACACAAAACATCGTAAAAACTTGCAAAGGACGTGTGGATCAGGCGACTTTAGTATGTCAGCAGGGATTAAATCCTGTGGCACTTGAACATTTCGACATTCCATCCAAGAGTAAAAGACCTTAACGGCCCAGGAAGTGCACTTCTTTGTGTTCGCGGGAACGACTCCTTTCGCAGCTTCTGCTAAGACCTCTTGACTTATTGGAGAAGAAAACCTTGTGTTCTGCACTTCACAGAGTGGCTTCTTGAGTTTCAATGAAAGTTTAGCCTTCTTCTGTGGAGGTTCGATAAATCCTTCCGCCATTATCGCCTTGCACCTGGCCACTTGTGCGACTTTTGAAATGAAATTTGATCCGCCCACGCACAACTACAAACCAATCAAAGCACCGTTGATTCGTAGATTACGGAAATTATTGCACTCGGGACGGTCTCGAGGAAAATGAGCACTCGGCTTCGCCTCGTGCTACATTTTCCTCTCGACCGCCCCTCGTG